GTAATTGAAGCCAGATGAAAAAGAAACTGGCTTCGCGTCTCCCAGATAGAAATGCAGAGAAAATTATCAGTTGAAGCGCTACCAATCACCAAGAATTAGCCTTACTTCAATAGGTTCAAAAGGTAAAGATAATTATTCATATTTAGGATACTCACAAGTACTAGTAAAGAATGGATATTACTACCGAACCCATTAATACTGCATGCATGAAAATAAGCCAACAGATACCCACCTGTGTTGGAAAATGCACCATCCAGCCACCATCTGGAAATTTCAGGACTTTATACAACGCAGTGACTGCAGACTGAAACATCGGATGTTTACTCATGGATGAGACAAAAAAATTACACCTGTCCAAATGATGTTAACCCTTGTTTCCATTTCGCAAACTCTCGGTTGTACTTCTTCCTGCTATCTTCAAAAACAGCCTTTTCCGTCAGTGACATGTTTCGGCGATTAGCAGCCTCTCTTGGTTCTGCGGGTTTTCGTTTGTGGCAATGTTGGAACCACTGAATGTATGATTTGTGAGCTTCCTAGAAGTTGAAACAGTGATTAATCAAGACTATAGTAATATCTTATCACTTATCAATATCAGTTATCAATAACAATAATATGAACTGACATTAGTAAATAGAATTTCTGAGTCAACTTTCTCACGTTTAATAAAATTTTGCAAACCTTAAAGAATTATTTAAGGTTTTCACTGACATTATACAAACAGAATTTTTGACCTATTTAGGCAATCACGGCTGAGTGATGATTACACCGCATTTATCAGAAGTCTTGTTCCAGTTTATCACACAAGTTAGTCACGCATTCGCATCAACACAAATTACGCCCTTTATACGTCGTTGGGTCTGAAGCCTGTTGTACATCACCCCGAACTACGCTAGTCTAATCCATGGCCAAACATCATTACAGGCCAAGATCTATATTGTAGTGATTGTGAGTAATCTGCAGGTTTAACAAATTTTGTCTGCAGTTTCTTTTTGTCTACGCATTTGAGGTATTAACTAACTCGGTAAAAAAGGACGAGGTATTAATAAGGGAAAAAGTAAAAATTGCATGTGAAGCATGGACCGAAGGTTTGGTCTTGCATCGTTAACCGCATGTGACAGCATGCAAAAGCAAAATGAAAAAACAACACGATCAAGAGATTGAGAAAGGCAGTGCGGATAAATAAAAAAATATTCAATCTCGAAAATATCTATATGCATGTACCTTGATCCGTAGGCATATATAATAAAATTTCCAATAGAGCCATGGTCTGCTTTAACAGTCTCCCAGACTATTAGAAGCAAGAAAGCTTAGTGTCGTATGAATCGGGAGAAGGTGATACAGACTGATATTAAATTTAGGTATGATGAGCTGGAAAGAATAATATTCAACTGGTTAAGGAAATGCATTTTTTAATCCCCCAATCAGTGGTTTAATGCTGAGGAAAGAAAGCAGCCCCTGGCTTATAGAACATGGATTATTTTAATGCTTCTGATGGTTGAATGGACAGATTCAAAAAGTGTGACGGATTCACAAAAAATATTTGATAAAATGCAAGCATTGGTGAAAAAATGTACTGAAAGACAGTTAATATCGAAACATTTAGAAGGTTACAAGTTAATGATATTTCCCAATCCTCATTAGACTCAGTTTTCATTCTTCTTTCAAAAGAAGAATGCAACAGAAGCAACCACGACATGAAGAAAAAAAACAACTAAGAAAGAGTCACTGGAAAGTCATGATAAATGCACTAAATAATGAATGTTGCATAAGCAATCTCATGATGTAATTTAGTGATTTAGCCAGTTTTAAAGACCGCCTATTAATATCCTTTCAGGTCAAGGAAGCGGCGACGTCAGTCTGCGACGTTCCCGGATCCTGTAGTACGCTGTTGAGAAGTTGGTTCACAAGATTTTCTACTTAACTGCAACAAAGTTTTGTTCCACGTGAGAGAATCAAAATGGACATATTGCAGAGCGAGGGGATCTGTCTGCAGCAATCAATAGATAGAACTGCAGAGGTAGTCAATGACTGACAAGGAATGACTATCCGCTAAGAAACACTGACAGCTGCTATTCTGAAAGCTCAACGGTTGCATGATTTTAACCAAAGATCACCCTACTATATAGATTCTGATGCTGTGGTAGTCCTTCAGAATATTTTTCTGCTCCGTAGTCAGGGCGCCGGACGCGTCGTCATTCTGCTCCTTCCAAATGTCTATAGCCGCCTCGTCCGCATTGTCGGGCAAAATATCGAACAACTTCTCCACAGCTGCCAGATTTTCATTAACTGTAAACAAGTACGCCTTAGGCGTGGAACTTCATGAGTCTTTAAAGCACACTTACGCAGAAACACTCGTCCAAGAGCACCGGCTTCACGTACCGCTTCAGCCATTAGCATATCCGGTTCAAACAACAGCCATTCTATTGCGCTGATCACCTTCTCTTCGTCCTGTTCAAAAGAAAACGTTTAAATATGCCGTCGTCACGGATACAACCCCGATTGAAAGTCATCAACTAACACTCATACGCAGACACTAAATTCTGAGAAACCAGTACATAAATTTTTATGACACAACAAATTTAAGAATCTTTATTGTACATTTAAAAATAACTGTGAAAGAATAAATGATATCAGTTATAAACTTTAGGCAGTAACACAGACATAAAAGAATCATTCCCTTGATAATCACAAGAAATGTATTGTCTTGTAAACGACTAAGGTTTAAAGATATTTCTCGATCAGGAGAAATATTAATGTTTGTAGAGTTGGAGTGTCGACCTTCCCCTTTATTTTTTCACGATGGGCACCATTTGCAACGATATTCTTTTCATGGAATCCACACGGTGTGTATCCTACTGAGCTTCTCCTCACATAGTGGCAGTTCTTTCTGTATCTGTTAACTACCTCATTCCAACATGATAGAATATAAATATCCCATAATCGTTTTTTGCATCATTCATATATCTTAAACTGCATCATTTTTTTAAACGATCAAAATGTTAATGTTTTTGGTATGGGAACTAGTCTAAAGTCTACAATATACAAAATACTCCAGCCTTGACCTCTGCAAGAAACTAATAATTTAGTCTATCGAATTAATCTGGGCAGCTGAAAATGAGGTTGGAGTAACACTCTAGATCCACAGCGAATAGCTATACAGAATATCCCAGCATTGCAAGTCATGCCTTAAACTATTACCTTGAACTTTAAGGTCGATCGAGAATGAGAGAGAATATAATTATTAAGCAATAAATAACTTTATCTCTCTCTGCTCAATTTGTATATTTGTCTACGGCTAGTGGCAGATTTAGCTGATGCTCAAACGCGCCCTTGTTCATTGAAACTCACTGATGCGCTGCTGCATTCAATAAACTACAGGTGCTCAAATACACTGAGCCGCGGCCTGACAAAATCGTCCTACTATGTGACTAGAAGCAATGGGGAGTTGCGCTTGCACCGAGTAAATCCGGGATAAGAAATCTTAATGTCGTCAGTAACGAGTATTGTCAAAACTAAAAAGCTACGCGGTAGCTACTTCAAAGTATCAGGGTTATGTTTAGGTTATTTAATAACTTGTTTTAGTCGATCATGCTACTCAATAGTTCTCAATGTAAGCATGTTTCGAATGCTAATTTTCTGCTCTAAACCGCACTCTCTGTCAGCATGCAGTGCAAAGATTTTGTTTCCATTCATGTCCTAATGATGAGGAGAGCTGTTGTCCAAAATGTAGACTTCTAAGTCAATTCTTTTGAATTTGAATCTTCTTTGTGCTTATCACAGATGAACTGAAAATTCCTTTGCATCTGAACATAACTGCTGTATCGTTCATGCACATTTTTCAATTATTCATGCTAAAAACAGCGAACTATTGATATCACCTGTCCCATATCATTTTGATATAAGTAATATCAG